GTCATAACACTGAGATAACTGAGAAAATAGACATATACTTCCATAATCTTGTTGCCAAATCATACTCCTCGGAGAGAAATAGCAAATCAAAGAACATACTCATGATGCGGCTGCATTCTTGGCTTCTCGTAGCCTGGTAGGAAGCGTTCAGGCACTTTTTACGAGGGTATGATCCCTGACGTACCTCGCGGCTCAAGCTTCGTTCCTACAAGCTATATAAGATGTAATACAGTTTACATGAAATGTGACTTTGTGGGGAAAAAAAATCCCTACATAAGTTGCATTTGTCACACTGCCACATTCCAACAGTCCTCATCCCTACAGAATTTAACCTCCTTTATTGATCATACTCGTAGGCAGTTAAATTTGTGACATAACTATCATATATATGATTGATTTATAGGAGCTAAATCCACAGCAGGATGGAAACGATGGCCGTAATTCCGATAAAAAATAATTAATACCCTGATAACAATCGCGACTGCTACAGATATGCCCGAGTACAGCAAAGAATAAATCCGCAGGCTGATAATGAGTACCTGACTTTATAGCGAGGATATAGTCTGAAGCGAACTAATAAATCCGACTGACCCATTCTAGCTAATCGGCTCAACAGCATCTTCCTATATTCCACGGCTGCATAATCGTCGACGCGTCCATCCCCAATACCGCGTCTTTTCAACCATGTCCCGCGGAGTCGACACGCAAAAAAACAACAACAACAACAAGGAACATTCCAATTCCAAAATCACAAACACAGTTCCGCATTAACCCCCCCCCCCGCCCCCCCCCAAAAAAAAGAATAATGATAAAAAAAAAGAAAAAAGATAAATGAAAAATATACGGGCAAAATGAGCTGTTACGAGGTCAGCATGAGAATGAGGTTTGTCCCCTGGTTGTTGTGATACGCAGACTAATTTGATTTATAGAGAGCACAGTGAAAGGAAATCCATGGCTCCCTATGAAAGACTTGGTGTAAAGAATGTGCATTAATGATGAGCACTCCCTTCAACACAGTAATAGGGCCTGTGTAATTGAAGCTGATTAAGTATTAATTTATTTTTCGCTCCATTTTTTTTTTTTATCTGCTAATGATATCACTATCATCATTATCATTATTTTTGTTATTACTGTCATTATTATAATTGATGTTATTATAATTATCATTATTATTATAATTATTATTATCATTATTATTATCATCATTATTAGTATCATTATTATCATCATCATCATCATAATCGTCATCATTATCCTCCTCCTCCTCCTCCTCATCATCATCATCATCATCATCATCATCATCATCATAATCATTATTATTACCATCATTATCATTATCAGAATAATAATAGTGATAACAATAATAACCATTATTATTTCCATTCTTCTTCTTCGAGACAGGTATACCGCACTGAAGCAGTTAGACAGTTTATGCACATTTATTATATACACAACTATCCGAAGGGGGGGGGTTAAGAAAGAAGACAGGAGGGGAAGGGGAAAGGAAGAGGGAGGAGAAAGGGGGGAGAGGGAGAAAGGGAGGGAAAGAAGGCTTACAGAAAAAAAAAGTTCAATTAGGTAAGGGAAACCAGAAGGGACTTAAAGAGGAAAGGAGTAAGATAAGGGAAGGCGAAGCGAACGAGGGAGACGAGTTTAAGGAGGATGAAGAGGGAAGTGGAAGGGGAAAGATAGAAAGCTTGAAGTGTGAAGGAAGGAGTGAATTTGAGGGGGATTTGGGAGCGAGAGGGGGCGGCAGAGCGGGAGAAAGAAAGAAATAGGGAGAGGGAAAGGAAAAAAGGGGAGGGGACGCGTAGGTAAAAGGGAGGAGGAACCCAGAGGGAGAATTTCCACGGGTCCCGCTAGGTATTATTATCCTTTGTCGTTATCATCATCGTTGTTATCATTATCTTAATCATCATCATCATTACTGTTATTACCATTATCATTGTTATCATTATCACCGGTATTATTATTATAACTATTATTATTATCATCATTATTATTATCATTGTTCTTATTATCATATATATTATCATCATTGCTCTTATTATTATCATAGTTATTATTATCATTGTTATTATCATCATTATTACTATCGTTATGATTATCATTATAAAGTGTTGATCATCATTAACACTTTTATTGCTCCTATCACTGTTACTATTATTGCAGTGGTAGTAGCTGTTGTCAGAAAAGTAAATGTGCTAATAGAAGTACTTAGAGTAGAATTAGCAGCAATAGCAGTAGTAATAGCAATGATAGTAATAGTAATAGTAGTAGTAGTAGTTGTTGTTGTTGTTGGTGTAATCAATGCATTGTACTTAGCTAAATAGGTAGCCCAGTTCTAAATAGCTTGTTGAAACCAACATTTAAATGACCTTTCTCCTGGAGAAAGCTGACGGTTATTCATGGTCAGGAACACTCCGTTACGATAAATAAAAGAGATGAATGTTTGTTTTACTACTGGAAATTATGACAACACCCGAGTAAAATATATGAATAATTATTTAGCTAGCTATATCTGGCTATAAAGCGCGTCCTCATTGGCTAAACGCTATGACGTCATTTAAGTCCACCCCATTTTCAGTCCTGTCAGTCTGTGCGATATATTATGACAAGTGACTTCTCAGTATATTTACATTGAAAATGATTCAGTTATGACGATGGTAAACATCTGTAAACAAATAACCGAGAAGGGCAGTAACACAAAGAAACCCTATTAATATTGCAATGAATGATGTAAAGTGGTTGGGCTTAGCTCCGTAGTTACCAACTAGGATTTTCAGCGCAACAGAGTGGTGCTACCTGTCTTGAAGTACCTTGGTAGTAGTAGTAGTAGTAAAAGTAGTAGTAGTATTAAGGATGATAATAGTAGTAGAACTTGTAATAAAAGTAGTATCAATATTATTATTGTTTAGATCCACATTATCATTTGCTTCTTTTTTCGCTAAGACTATCAACCACTGAACACTAATTGAGTATCATTTTGCTCGTTACCATATGTGTGAATGTACACATAAAAGTACACACAGTAAATTCCCTGTGTTGACGTCAAGGCATTTGTAGCATAATTACTAATCTTAAACTTTATACGCCATCCCTTTGTTACTAATTCCATTATATATATACACACTTGACTTCACAGGCCATAATACCCTCTTAACCTTCGCGCACAGCCTACCCCTCCTAGCTACTGACAAAAAACGTAAACCTGCAAGACCCATCAGGTTATTTAAACCAATGTTGGTTATGAATAACCAGTTATCTCAGTGTTATATCTATACCTAAACACTGTAATGGCATTTATACATATAAATAAAATTCCGTACTTCGGAAATTAATGTTCCTTGTGAGATTTACTCTCATCCTTTCAAGCTGCACGCAGTACGAAAATGTAAACAAACACAGAGATGCCACTTTCACTGTTCACCGAAAACGGATATAGTGCATGGGTACAGGTAACTATACGTACATACATAAATAC